TGAGTCTTTGCTGTTTCAGATGAAACTAAATCTGATCTAATACAGAGGCATTAGGAGATCTTGGAATATCCAGGCATTGTTAATGACAAATCCTTACCTTAGGCAGTTTTAAGCCTCCCCCATAGGGATCTCAGCCACCAGGCAAGGCTAATCTGCTTGGTCGGTCCTGTCTGCTCACCCTCTTACTGGCCTGCCTACCCAGAGATTTAAAGTCCCCACCTGGGCAACCAACCAGAATCCAATTTAGCCTTGAAAGCCCCTTCCACAGCCAATCTTGTCAATGAAGCTTTCCCTGCTGAATGATAGCTCTCTGGGATCTCTCCCTTGTCTGAGTTCCACAGCAGCTGACTATACCATCTGTCGTTTGGTTCCAACCTTATTCTGTTTTCTAGCCCACGGGTTTTCATCCCTATGCCCTTCCTCTTTATAGTAACAAATTCATTAAGAACAAGATCCATGTTTTGGCATTTTTATCAGATGTTTGTATCTTTATCTGATTTTGGAAGTCATTTCTAACCACGAAGCGTCATACTCTGTACTCTCGAAGTAATGTGGACTTTAGAGATTGGTTTCTACATCTTCCTAAACTGTGATGTCTTCAAAGGCAAAAACAAACAAACAAACAAACAAAAACAAAAACAAAAAAACACTATCACAATGATCTCTGTGTCCACAGTACCTGATTCATGCACGTACCTCACTCAATGCATATAGATTGATGAATAGATAAATCTTAGGCCCCCAACATCTAGAATAATGTCTTGTCCGTAATGCCTACAAGTCTCTATAAACTAATTACTTAATGTGGGTGTTGCCAAGGAAAGAAACTGTGAAAGGAAAATAAATCTTGGGTCCCCCAAATCACTAAGCTAAAGGGAAAATCAAGCTGGGAACTGCTCAGGACTAATCTGCCTCCCATTCTATTCAGTCACCCCTCTGCTCACTGAGATAAATGTGTATCTGATTTTCTCCTTTGGAGAGGCAAATCAGAAACTCAAAGGAACAAAACCATTTGTCTCTTATCTACCTATGACGTACCGCCTTTGCTTCGAGTTGTCCCGCCTTTTCCAGAATGAACCAATGTTCATCTTACATATGTTGATTGATGTCTCATGTCTCCCTAAAATGTATAAAACCAAGCTGTGCTCTCACTACCTTGGGCACACGTCATCAGTACCTCCTGAGGCTGTGTCATGGGTGCACATCCTCAGTCTTGGCAAAATAAACTTTCTAAATTAAATGAGACCTGTCTCAGATGTTTAGGATTCACGAAGCTTTTTGAGCTTTGGATTTGGAACTTATATTTCCTAAAACACTTTCATGTGTAGGCAATAGAGGCTTGACAAACTGGTTTAGGCAAAAAGTAATCTTAGTTTCATACAACAGGAAAGTCAAATGAGTACCTTCGGGTATTACTTGATATGGACATTCAAAAAAAGTCAACAGGGTTCTGTTTCTTTCTCTCTCCATATCTTAGACATGTCTCTCTATAGTTCCTCTCTGTGACAGCTTCCAGTAGCCCAAGACTTAGCATAGCAAACTCAGCAGCCCAACAACAAAAAAACATGTTCCCTAATATTTGTATAAAACATGTATCAGGGAGTATTTTGATTGCTTGACCCAGTCTGGACATGTGTCTATCTTGAATCACTATGGCCAGGAATTTGGGGTATTTTACTAGACACATCTAGGTCACATGTTCACCTGTGAGACTAGAGGAGAGGGCCAGCTGGGTTAGCCCCACACAGGCTCCAGAATGGAGAAGGGTTATGTTCCAGAAGAGGGACAAACCAACATATGCCCATCACTGTTCTGTAGCTGATACCTCCTTCTAGACTCAGTCAGCTCAAAGGTTTTGCCTGGGATCCACATGATTCTAGATTTCTTCTTGGCCTGGCGCAGTGGCTCATGCCTATAATCCTAGCACTTTGGAAGGCCAAGGCAGAGAGATTGCCTGAGCTCAGGAGTTCGAGACCACCCTGGGCAACATGGTGAAATCCCGTCTCTACTAAAATACACAAATTTAGCCGGGCGTGGTGGCAGGCACCTGTAATCCCAGCTACTCAGGAGGCTGAGGCAGGAGAATCACTTGAACCCAGGAGGTGGAGGTTGCAGTGAGCCAAGATCGTGCCACTGCACTTCAGCTGGGGCAACAGAAAGAGACTCCATTTCAAAATAAATACATAAGTTAATTAATTAAATAGATTTCTTCTTGCCATCTTCTTGCCACCATTATCGTCCTGCAGTCACCTCAGTGTGTTTCTTCAGTGTCTCCCCTTGGCTCCACTCCTCCCTGCACTGCCAAAATATAATTGATAGTTTAGTAGGCAGAAAGGAGTGGGCATCCCAGGATTGGGGAAGTTGCTTTACCTTCTGACTAATTCAAACCTAGGGTCTAAGGTAACTGGAGCAAGTCCCTGGTGATGCCACACAAGAGGATTCTGCTTCTAGGCATTCCTTTCTGACAGGAAAGAAATTCATGTTGACCTTATTAATTGGCTCCATCAGCCTGTCAAGAAAGCACTTGGTAGTTACTCCAATCAAGCCATTTGTTTTTTCTAGTTGAGATCAGAGTTATTCTCCAAAATCTTCAGAAGGCACTGGATCCCTCTAGCCGCTGAAAACATGGGTTCCTTGAACAATACAAGTATCTAAAAGTCTCTGCCAAATTTTCCAGCACCTGTTGAATGTAGTTTTTCTCCCAATAGAAGAAAAGCTTCTCAAGATTGTACACCTAGAGGTTCAAAAATAAATTCTAGATATAATACAACCCTAGAGCCACCTACCCCTTTCCAGACCCTTACCTCCTCCTACCAAGTCACACCAGAGCTTCTCTGAAATCTCAACCCAAGCCAGACTTTGTGGAAGACTTCCTAAAGCACTTTGGCCTGCCTGAGCATTCGTGAGGTCAGTGTCTTCTGCTTTTCTCTCTAGCACTTCCTAGGATATATTTAACACTCCCATGATCTCATTTATTAATAATGTGGACTGACAACTTTACAGTTTGCAAATAACCTTTTTCAAGCATTATTGTGGATAACTTTCCCAACAGCATGGAGAGATAAATAGAATTACTGTGCTCTAAGAGCAGAGAATACTGAGATTCAAAGAATATTATGTAATAGTTTAAGGTCACATGGCTAGTAAGTGGCAGAGTCAGGTCTCAAACTTATGTCCTCTCATTACAAATTCCTTAACTTTTTGTTCCATAATACAGTCTGTAACTATATCCTGTTGGATGATTTTGACTCCCAATAAGTCTGCAACCTTGAGGATACGAGGCAGGCTTTTGTTTTGTTTGCCTCTGAGTTCTATCTGTAGAAAGCCTAGTGTAACTCTGTGTGTCGGATTGGTATTCCAAAATAGTTTGCTGTCTGAGGGAGTAAACCATTTGCCACTGCGTTCCTGGTGAACTGAGTTGTCTTGGGGATTCAGCTTTGTAGGCAGGGTCTTATTGTCAGCTCTAAGAAAGGGAGGCCATACCTTCACTAGCATCTGGAGGATGTGCAAAGTGAAGCCTTCCTGTGCTAGTGGTGAGAATTGATCATTCACACATCCATTCATTCAACCAACACTATTTTCTGTCTTCTATGTACCAGGCAGAGTGATAGGTGCTGACTATACATTGGTAGATAATATACAGACACACCCAACCCAGAAGAGCTTACACCTCTTCGAGGGTCTTGGACTCTAATAGGAGTCATCTAATGATGATGTCTTCATTATTCTCACCTGTATTCATTCTCGACTGATGAATAACACATGACCACAAAATTTGCAAACTAAAACAATACCAAATTGTTAACTCACACTGTGAAAACTCACCAGGGTTATCTGCTAAAGGTCTCACAAAACCAAAATCAAAGGTCAGCCAGGTGGAGTTCTTATCTGAAGCTTCTGAAGAAGAATCTCCCTTGCAGCTCATTCTGGTTGCAGACAGAGTCCAGTTCCTTGTGCTTGTAAGATTAAGGTTCCTGTTTTTTTGCTGGCTGTCATCTGGGGTTTTCTCTCAGTTCCCACAGGCTACCCTTAGGTCTTTTCCATGGGGCCACCTCCATCTTTAAGTCTCATACTTCCTCTTTTCCTACCAGCTGGAGAAAACTCTGATCTTAAAGGATTCATGTCATTAGGCCAGGACCACACAGATAGTCTCCCTTTCTTATAGTCAATCTCACCATATAACATCACCTACTCACCGAGTAACAGGTCATGATACCCACAGGTTCCACCCACACTCACAGGGAAGAAGATTGTACAAGGCATGGATCACTGGGGTCAGCTTAGAATCTACCTGCACACCACCTCTGCCCAACTTCAGTCACTTAATCACTTCACATGGGCATTTGCCACAATCTAACAAGTGTTTTTTTCCCTGTCCTGTCTCATCCATATTTAATCAGAGGTCACAACACCATACCTTTGCATGTGCCAGTCTCTCTTCTTGGAATGCTTTCCCTGATGCTTATCCTCCAACAAAATCCCCCTTAAACTTAATCTTCCTTAAGGCTCAAAGGTTACACCCTCTGAGGGTCTTCTCAGCACCCAGCCATCCATCAGAGTTAAATAATCCCTTCCCTGTTTTTTTTTTAATGAGACAATCCATCTCATCACACCAGAATCTAACCCAGACTATTACTGTCTTAAACACCAGACTGTGAGGTCTCTGACATCAGAGTTTGTGTTTCATTCATCTTTGGTTTCCCAGGGCCTCCCACAGATCTTGGCACATAGTAAGTGCTTGGAAAGTGTTTGTCAAATTTGAATTGACCTGAACTTTCTATCCTCTGTTCTGCAGATTTATGATTGGAAGAGCAGCACAGATTTGAAATCTAGTTTGGGGCATGAAGTAGAACATCTGTAATTTTTACCTCCCAGCGTGGATTATTTGGTGTTCTGATTATTGAACTCTAACAAGCCATTATGAAACCACCACACCCCCCCTTTCCATCCCTGTAATCAACATGGGATTTCCTTACTGCCCCATCCAAGTATAGACTCACCTATGACTCAGGCTTTGCTAATAAGAGGCACCGTGATTGATTCCAAGATGGGCATCTGATGCAATTCAGCTGAGAACATGCCTTCCATCTTCTTATACCCTTTGGGAAAGCAGTTTTCTCTTTCCATTGGACTTGTGGAGCTGATAGAATAACGGCTTGGAGCAACTAGTGGCTTTCTCTGCCACCCTCTAAAGGAAAGCTCACAATGAACCAATACAGAAAAAGTATAGAACTAAGAGATGACAATAGAGAAACACTGAGTCCTGAAGACATCATGAGCCACTGGACTGAGCCACGCCCAAAGCTTGTCATCTTTTGAGCTGGCCAATAAATGAAATCTCTTCTTACATTTCCACCAACACACTTTCCCATTTATTAATTGACTTGGGTTTCTGTTACTTGCAACCAAAACCAAAACCCTAAAAAATACAAGATAGTAATCTCTAATTACGGGCAAAAAATCCAAAAATAACTAACCCCTTCTTATCTCATGAAAGTCTTAATGAAAACTGAACAAATGGGGTCACTGGAAATGCCACTGCTTCCAACCTCTTCAATACTAACCTGCTGAATCCTTTTTACTTTGTGTTGGAATGCAGAGACCAAGGATTTAGGGACTGATACTGTAATGAACAACAGGACAGAGTATTATTCATTATCTTCAGAAGCAGCCACTTAAGTCTTGCAGCCAAGTTTTTCGAAGGGACCCCAGGTGTGCAATTTGCAAGCAAATGACAATCGACATGACTATTGATTGCTTTGACCAGCTAATTATGAGTCTGTAATTTCCTGGGCCCTAGGATTTCTGTCCCATTTCCTATATTGGAACTCCCCTTGGATCTCATTTGTTTACCCTCAAATCATCCCTAGGGAGGATGATTCTTCTCTCATCAGCCTTCCCCACATCCTTCTCCATCCTGCTGGCCTCTCAATAGCTGTGTCACCAGATTTCGAAGGGACTTTCAACTTATTGCATAATCAGCTCTTCCTCTGAGACATCCCTCACCCCCACCGCCATCATTACCTCAGGGTGTTGGAACTTTGCTGTAAGCTGCTGACAGATCATTAAAGATCCCAGCTGTTCCTGGTCCAAAACAACCCCTTTCAACTGGGTCTCCTTCCAGGAACAGCTGCAAAAGCTCCAGAAAGGAAGGGAGGAGACACATTTAGCATGATAACAAATCAGTAGGGAGTAGCCAGTTTACCCAGAAAGGCTGCAATGCAGTTACACCCACCCAGCAACTCTCCCCACCCCTGCTAGGAGAGAGACAAATTCGTGCTACCTCTGTGTGAAAACTCTTCATAACCAAAGGAATGAAATCAAGAATCACAACCCACCCCTGCTCCCTGGAGAGGAGCCTGGACAAAGTTCTTGCTTTTTCCATCATGATTCACAAAAAGGCCTGTCAGTGGTTACAAGATTATTATCTTGCATACACGTACATGTAACATACTCACACCAAATTAACAACATGGAAGAAGTAGCTGTCATCTATCTCATGCAGGGCACTGGGCAAAGGGTTCAACATATGTTTGCAGGCTGGGCGTGGTGGCTCGTACCTGTAATCCCAGCACTTTGTGAGGCCAAGGCAAGTGGATCACCTGAGATCAAGGGTTCAAGACCAGCCTGGCCAACATGGCAAAACCATCTCTATAAAAATACAAAAAATGTAGCTCAGTGTGGTAGCACACGCCTGTAGTCCCAGCTGCTCAGGAGACTGAGACAGGAGAATTGCTTGAACTCCTGGAAGGCGGAGGTTGTGTTACCTACCAGGGGGTTCCTTGCTCCCAGAGCTCCCAAGATGGTGGCCGGCCACTTCCAAAATGGCGGTGGGCCACTTCCAAGATGGTGGCAAGCCTCATGTTCTCTGACCTGGGGTTCTTGGCCTCACAGATTCCAAGGAATGGAATCTTGGGCCATGGTGTGAGTGTTACAGCTCTATTAGAAGCAATGGGTCACAGAAGAGAACCGTGGAACCCAGTGACTAGTGTTCAGCTCGATTAGGACGAGCCCAGGCACTTAGCTGTGCACGAACAATGGCAAGCCTTTAGCCCGATCGGGAGTGGCAATGGGCACCTCGCTGGATCAGGAGCACAGTGGACACCCTGATGGATCCGGAGGGATGGAAGTCAGAGGCGGGTCTGCGACTGCAGCAAACAGCAGTGGTGGACGGTGAGCAAAAGCTCAACTCCAGCCCTAACAAAACAAGGACCAGAGGAGTGCAGTTACAAGATTTAATAGAGTGAAATAGAGTGAAGACAGAGCTCTCATGTAAGGGGAGGAGACCCAAAGGGGGTTGCCTGCAGGCTTGAATGCCTGGGTTTATATCCCGATCCTTGTCCCTCCCGCTGTGCTCTCAGGCAATAGATGATTGGCTATTTCTTTACCTCCTGTTTTTACCTAATTAGCATTTTAGTGAGCTCTCTGATTGGTCGGGTGTGGGCTAAGTTGCAAGCCCTGTGTTTAAAGGTGGATGTGGTCACCTTCCCAGCTAGGCTTAGGGATTCTTAGTCCGCCCAGGAAATTCAGCTAGTCCTGTCCCTCAATTGCAGTGAGTCAAGATCGCATCACTGCACTCCAGCCTGGACAACAGAGCGAGACTGTGTCTCAGAAAAAAAAAAGATGTGTTTGCTTATGAATCCTTCCTTAAAAACAAATCATTGATTGATAAGGAAACCAAGGCACAAAGAGATTGAATAACTTGCCCAAGTTTGCACAACTCAGAAGTAGTGGAGCTGGGATTTGAACTCAAGTCTATCTGACTCAAGCCTATACTGTCAACTCTAATCCCATTCCAATATAAGCCCCATTCAATTGCCTAATTGGTACAGAGTCTGGGATTTAGTGGGCACCATTAAAGTTTGGTTTAATGAATTTATTTTAATGAAGGCAAATTCATGCCACTATTCTTTTACACATATTGCTTTCTCTTCTGAAATGCGCTTTACCCCAACCACTTTATCCACCTGGAAAACATTGAATGATTGTGCAAGATATATCTTAATTCTCATGTACAATATACAAAGACTTTACAAGGAAGCCCCCTTCCCTTGTTCAGTGGACAGTCTTAGTCATTCCCTCCACATTGTCTCTATTATTGCCTACGTGGCACAATTCTGTATGTATCAAAAACTTTAGTTGTCTGCCTACCCCATGACAGCTAAGCAACATTGCCTTGAACTTTCTCTTTTCATGGCTTCAGGAAATGCTCCCTCAATATTTCTGCTAATTCCCAAGGGTTTTACATTTCCTCCTGTTCTACCTCTCAAGCTCCAGTTACCTCTATTATTGCTTTTGTCTATCACTACGCCACTTGGGAATAAAATTTAACACCTTTAATTTCTATTATACATCAATGTCAGTTTTTCATGAGCCTTGTAATTTGGGAGGGAGGGCAGCAAAAGGAGTCAAGTAGTGTAGCACTCCGCTTTCTACCATCTTGTTTGCTCCTACCCTTATCCCTCTCCCCACTCCTCTTATAAGCAATGTAATTCCTCAATTTCTTCACACAATGTATACAGAGCAATTTTCCCCCAAATCCTGGTACCAACTAACATCAAGGCCTTGGAAGGAAGGAACAGCAAGGGATGAGAGTGGAGTATAGGAAAAGGGGTGGGGACTCAAATCATACCCAAATCCCTCATGTATTTAATAATTATTTCTTGAGTATCCCCTATCTGTGAGGTAATTAGGACACAGAGATTAAGAAAAACAAGATGTCTATTGTTATGAAGGTTAATTCCTAGTAGAAGGAACACAAAGCAAATGAATAAACACAGTGCTTTCCAACTGTGATGATGTGAAAGTAGCCTGTGGGGTGGATGGTGACTAATTAAGGTAGAGTGGCCAGGCATGGCCTTTCCTTAGAGGTGATATTTAAGCTGAGAGTTGGAGAGGTGAAAAATCAGCCATGCCATGAACTTGAGACAAGGGTTATAAACTGAAAGAACTATTAGGACAGAAACTCTGAGCAGCAAGCTTTTGTGTGTTCTGGAAAAAGAAAAGTGAGAAAGTAGCCATAAAATATGAAGACAGAGACTGATAGTGGCAGAACACATAAAAGGCTTTTTTCTTAATTTCAGTGGAAATCTATGGGATATTTTTGACATATGAGTGACCCAATCTAATCGCCAAAACACTTTTGTCCAAATAAAATAAACACTTCTTCTTTTTTATGCATATATTTTCCTTACCATACTATGAGTTCCTTGAAACAGATAGGCATTGGACAAGTTGCCTTATATAAAATGATGAAATTACATAGAAATATTTTTATGTTTTTTATTCTTCTCATTTCATGTTTTACAAATGAATGAAAAATGCTTGAACCAATGAATACATTATTATTAAAAATACATGCTTAACATGCATTTCAATATTTAAATGTCTATGTAAAGCAAAGTTGACAGAAATAAAAGAAGTAAACAAATCTGCAATCATCATCTAAGGGTTAAAGAAAAGTCATGAGAAAAATTAAAAATTACTTAAACTGAATGGCAATGAGAATACTGTATGTCAAAACTTGAGATATAAAGCAAAAATAGTGCATATATTAGAACAAAAGATTTAAAATTAATGTTCTAAACTTTCATTTTAAGAGGATAAGAAGCAAAATTAAATCTAAAGTAAGTAGAAAAAAGGAAATAATAATAAAAGTAGATATCAATGAGCTAAAAAACAGAAAAGCAATTAAAAAATCAACAAAGGCAATAAAACACATGTTTTTAAAATATAAACAAAGTGTTAAACCCCAAACAACACTGATCAGGAAAAATAAGATAGAAGACATAATATCAAGGGAAAAAAAAGAAAGCCATTATTGCAATTTCTATAGAAATTATAAGGATAGTGCAATAAATATATCTTACAAAATGCTCTTAGTCAGAATATATAAATATGTAAAGAATTACTACAAATTAATAAAAAGGAAAACAAATAATCCAACTTTTTTCAAAAGTAAAAACATTAAAAGGTAATTCACATAAAAGAATATACAAATGTAAATTAACAAATAAATGTATTAGTCATCAAGAAAATGCAAAGTAATGACAAAAACTGCAATTACTTTTGGCCCAACCTAATACTACCACATCTACATAAGGATAACTAAAATTTTAAAACTAACAAAGTTAAGTTTGGGTAAAGATAAAGAACAACCAGAATTTGCGAACACTGCTAAAGGAACCACAAATTAATACCCTTTTAACACTGTTTATTAGTATATATTAAAGCAAACATATGTGTCTCTATAACTCATCAATTCCAATCTTGTGGATACACCCTTCCAAAAGGTCTGCTTATGTGTAACAAATGCAGGTATGAGAATTTTCACAGCAGCTCTATCATCATATCCCCAAACTAGAAATACCAAGAACAGGATGGATGAATCTCACAGAGAGTATTACACAAAAGAAACTAGACACAATCAGCTTCATGCTGTATGAGTCCATTTCTATGAAATTCAAAATCACAAAACTAACCCATAGTGCTAGAGATGTCCTGCCAGGTGGTGTGTATTGGTAGTAAGAGTCATGAACAAGCCTTCTAGGGCACTGGAAATGTTCTATGTCTTGAGCTGCATGATAATCCCATAGGTGTGCGTAGATGTAAGAGTTTATTGAACCCTATGCCTGAAATCTGTTTACTTCATTGTTTGTGAATCAGGCCTCAGTTAAAAGGTACAAAACAAAAG